TTTATGATTCTTTAAAAGACATACTCAATAGTCTTATTCGACGTGTAAGGATTGTAATGAAGCTTAATGAATATCTTTAAATTTACTTTTCCTTTTTAAACTTTTATTTTATTTAATTAAATCTGATTAATCTACTCTAATAGTTGATTAAATTTTTACATTGTTAATTAACTATTTCCTATACTATATTATTTTGTTTAATTCCTCATTTAAGATCATTATTTTCTCATTAATTACAATTGTTTACTTGTAGATAACTCGAAAGTTTTACGAATAACAGTTTGTAGAAGTTTTAACATCAGTTGAAATTTTCCCTTTAATGAAATTAGTCCTCTAATTTAACTTGTATAGATGCATGGTTTAGAATTGATCTCCAAAGAATAAGTTGGACTTAAATTGGCTATTCCACAGACGTGTGCTATTTAGATTGTCCACTAGTGTCCGATAGAATTGGTTAGAACTGGTAGTTGTTCATGGTCTCACCAACGGCCTTTCAACATGGAGTTGTTTTTACGTATCTAACACCTGTTTCCTATAGAAAGTCCTACCGGGAGACACTCCCTGGAAGATCGTTTATGTGTTACATTGTCTTAGCTCATCAATCCTATACTTTTAACGTTTCAATAAAATCCAAGGAATCTTTACTATTTCTTCCGACAATTCACTGAATAAAAAAAAATGTTCTGACAATGATGATAAAATTTTCTTAGTAGAATTAGAAGAAATAATTTTATCTTTGTATTATTAATAATGAAATAACAGCTTTAAATAAACTTACGAGTATTATTGACGATCTTTGTTTATTTAACTAAAATATAATCCATCTCTCACTCACCAGTGGCCGAATGGATAAAACAACTGAACACTAGTCATTTGTTCGTTACTCCCCAATGGTCTAACAACGTGGAGTTTTCCGAATTTTCATCACTTTAGTAACACGTAAATAGGATCCAGTTTTTCTTAGAAAATCATCCCGGAAAGCATTTCTCTCGGCAGGTCTCTCATGTGTTACGTTGCAGTAAACAATCCATACTGATCCATTACTTACAATATATTTTAATCAAGTACGAAATCTATCAATATGTATTAAATACATCGTCAGTTCTACATACTTGCGATGTAAACTATAGTACTGTATATAGACAGCATAATCTATGGAAACCACCTTAAAATTCAATTATTTTTCTTATAACAAACTTAATCTCATTGTTCTAGTTTTTGTCGTTGTCATTCGGCAAAATTGGTATTTTCTTACAGAAACTGAATAGTCAGTGAAATTGATTATTTCTCTTATCATTTACTAAATCTTAACACAGTTGTATTACATACTGCAGTGTAATTTAATCTTGGCAATACATAACAAAATATCTTGAATACGGAATTGCTCATGGTAAACTCTCAAATTCAAAGATTAAAAAAATTTAGTGTTGTTAGAATTAGTTGCTGCGGCGAAAACTTAAAAGTTTACATTTAAGACAAATTATTAGAACACGACATATTCTTTACCAAAATATTATGATAAAAGTAATTTTATAGTTTGATAAAGCTTACATAGTTTTAAGCAAAAATTAATTTATTAATTCTCCCTTCACTTTTGAAGAGGGGAAAAATTAATATTAACTAACTGTGTATAATTTAAATCCTAATATTTAATATCAATTTTATCGATTCTTTTGATTATGTTGTATTTTGTTAAGAATTCAGAATGATATTTATTAGAATAAATAAAATAACATTTATGTTATATCTATTAGAATTAGAATTTATATTATATACCCAATACAATAGTGTATTCTCTATTTTTCTTTGTTCTATCGTTTTGAGTAATGATCTTGGATTAATCATTTTTCATTCGGAGCGTTTTATTTTAATGATGATGCTAAAAATAAATTGTTTTAAAATACTTTTTAATGTAAGCAAATGTGTTCTACATAATACCAAAATCTATTCGAAGTTTTCAGTATTTTCATAGTAATGGAAATACGGAATAAATATTTCCATTACAATGAAAATTCGTAGGCCATCTTCCGTAATGGACATCAAATAATCAGTATTATGATTTTAACGATATTTTGTTAAAAAATTAAAACTTGGTAGAAACTTCAATGTGTCTACTGTCAATGAGTCTACTGTCTGTTATACAGAGAACTGTTTTGTCGTTTAAAACTTTAGTAATTATTTTAAGATTTATTTATTTAAAAAAAAAAATTGTCTTAAGACTTGTTTTAGTTTTGGATTCTATTTTATTTCAATTATTTAATTGACGTCATTATTTGACTGTTATTACTGTTATTGTAGAATTATTGTTATTACTTATATAAGTGACAGTTTCAATAATTCAGTCAAAGTTTCCTACGAACTTGAAATTTTAGAAAACACTTTTTAAACTCTTTAAATGTGTGTTCGTGTTCTCTCTCTCTCGCGTAAATTCACATTATTAGTACGAAGAATCATATAGATTATTTTTCTATAATATCTTTGATTTTAGACTTGTTGGTGTGAGCTCACAGTACAGTCGACCTATCCTGTAATATCTTTAAACGTATTAACTTTCTTATTGAATGAGAAATCTGTCATTTCCGCTCAGATTTAATCGAACTAACAATTTATTGAGAAGAGCATAGGATAATTAAAGTCCATAAAATTCTTTTAAATATGCAACTATATTTATCGGATAAGAGGTAAGAACTTTTACGGGAAAGCAATTGTTTATGACAATTGCTTCAAGTAAGAATTTAAGCTTGAAGCAATTGTCATAAAAGACAAATGCACAGGCCTTCTTACAGTTAATCTTACGAATATTTGAGTTTGGATTTCAAATATATGAATATAAATATACAAAATGTAAATTTTATTTTATTTTTTTGATTATTTTTGCTATATTATATTTGTCTTCATGTAAATGCTGCTTTTACATTCCTAACATTCATGTCAAAACTTTAATTATAATAATAAATTGTTTATGTAAATTTTGAGAGCAGCCTAGAACGTAATCATTAACGTCTCATTGACTTATATTGTATAATTAGATTCATTTTACGCCGATTTTATTTTTGAATAGTTTCTTCTGAAACGTTCAAAACTCCGTTGAAAATCGAGGACTCTCTGTATTGAAGGAAAATACTACTCTCTTTATTTAGCCTTAAATATTTTGGATTTTAGTTTGGGTTTTCTTTATTTTAAAACATTTTATATTCATAATTTTTCGTATGTTTAGATGTAATTTGTAATTTTTAATTTTTAAAACTATTCGCCAACCATGTTTAAATGATCAAATGCGAAGAATACTAGAACATGTTCTAAAGAATAAATTAACATGCTTTGATGTTTAACATCTGTAATACAGTATTACATACAAAAATAAATTGGCAATTTCCAAAATAATGCTTTGTTCAGAATTTAATTTATTTATAAAGGCAGTATTGAATTTATGTGCTATTTATTACTTAGAGCCTATAAAGTAAAAATTCTTACTAAATTATATTTAACAGCAAGCTAAGGCAATATGACTAAACATCAATTTAATTTATCTATATTTTTATTGTTGTTCTCATACCGTCTTTGTAGCATAATAAATATTAAACATAGCAAAACTGGATGTAGAAAAGGAAAAGTATACCAGAAATTAAATGTAAAGACAAGCATTGTTCGTCACAATTTATGAGCATTTTCAAATTAAAATTTATAGCTAATGACTTTTTTTTAGGTAAGTTTGGTTAATTCTTATTAAGAAAATTGTTAGCTGGTACTGAAATTTTTTTGGTGATTTTTCAAACATGTGATTCAAGTAAGCATTTTCTGTATGTTAACAGAATTTATTTATTTAAATGTAGCGTTAATTAATACCAATTATTATTAGTTTATTATTATATCATATTATTAATATTTACTTTTGTAAATAATGCCATTATATTTTTCTTCTCGATGACGTATTTGACTCAACCGAACAATTGGCATCGCACTTTTTCAGGCACCACTGAAAAGAATGCTGTCCGGGGCTAAGTGGTGCCATTTTATATACAATATATACGAATAATCTGTAAGAGTATCGTGACGTTTACTAAAACATTTTGTCCAGAACTCAGACGTTATTGACCGTTTGTTAAGTTCTGTATATTTTTTCACGAAAGTGGAAAGTAAATGTTTACGAAACAAAAATGGAAAAATATTCTGCCATAACGAATCCAAATAAAATTGGCCATTCGGAGAATAAGTCATTTTGCGGATAGCTATATATTTCAAATGCTTTCCTGGGATAACAAATGCCTTTGATTTAAAATAACAATAGATATCTTCTTTTCCCTCTTCCCGTATGACATAAAAATAGCCATTATTTCAAATTTTCAAATAAAACATAAAACTTATATTTATTTAAAATTTTTATATTTGTATTTGATATTTTAAATAAATAATTAGTTGGGGAGTATGGGATAAGAAAGCTCAGCACAAGAGGGATCTATCAAGGGGAATATACCTCCTTTCTACAGAAAAATGGCCGCCATTTAATGTATTAGACACGTGAAGAAAACACAGAAAGTTCCAATAAAGGACAAGTTTCTAATGCTTTTCACCTTTTCGATGTTTACGTTTTTATTTGTATTCATTATTTTTCGTTATTATTTAAGATATAGTCAATTACTTAGAATAATTATCAAATAAAATAATAAGAAAAGTTTCCTTATTAACTTGTAAGTAAAAATTCAGAAATAATCATTCATATTATTAAATGAACAATCGAAAAAAGAGTCTTGAATAATTTTAAAAAATTAAATCTAATTATTAACTTTTTCTTTTTTGTATCTTTTAATTTTTACAACAACTCAAAATACTTGATTAATGGTTAAAAAGGTTTTTACCGATTCGTTAAACACTTTAAAATAATTTTTGATTTATTTCTTAAAATTATCTTTACATTATATTTATCTAAAAGCATTGTTATTAAGAGATTTATAATTTAATTTTTAATCCGTTAATGAAAATATTGATAAGACCAGCGAATGCAATATTCATGAAATAATGGCAGCTTTTTATTTCGAAATACAGAAGAAACAACAGACGACAAACAATTGGAATTAAATTGTTTACCCACTAAAGTGACGTCACAGAAAATTAGAATTTCCAAGATAATGGTAATTTGATAAACGAATTATTACACCTGACGATAATTTAAATTACAAATAGAAATCGGTGAATGCCATTTATGATTAATCTTTGGAGGTCGGCGAGCGCAATCCGGGTTATTTCTAAATATTAAAACGTTTAAGCCGAAGGAGAGATAACTAATAAATCATCGTGTGACGTCACTGTCGGTGGCAATAATTACTCTGATATCTGTAAATCGGTTGCCAACGGGCATCGAAACAGCAAAATAATGATTTCAGACGGATTACAACATTAACGGGAATCCAACACCTGAAAAAAAGAACGGTTCCTTTATGACGTCGACCAAGGGACCCCTCTTTTCTAATTCGAATTCTTACCATCGACGGTCACACTAGTAAGCCATTTGATCGTCGTCGTGTCTGTAAGAATCGACAGAACCGCCAACCGATCTCTTTGTCAAATGTCCTTCTTCTCTGTAATCGTAGGGAGCGTATCCCATTCTGGCGAACAACCGATCCTCCGGTGTCAGCTCCAAAAGCTAAAAAAATTCAAATAATTAAAACGAAACGTAATTTATTTTTCCTAAAATATTCCCGAAATAAATTCGAAGAGAAAGTTTTATTTAAAATTTTTATATTTCGAAATATGAGATTTTAAATTTTATTTCTTCAAAAGTTTAATTTAATAAAGTATATTTTTAATACCATTAAAGTAAGGTTTAATGGAGAAATATTAAAGGTAAGGATTCGTATCCAACCCACGGCAAGTTAATTAAACTCGCAAGAGCTGGGAAATAAGTTTAAAATTAATTATCAACGATTTCGGACTTAAAATTTCGGGTGTGTCGCGAAAACTTGGCAAATGAATTTCTACCGGATGTAGGAATAAGCATTGAATAGAGCATTCCATCTCCGCCTTTTCGATGCATCCGAACGTGTAACCAGAGTCTCTATGACGACCAAATAAATTAAAGAGAAAATTAAAATGCGAGAAAGACAACTTTGTCTTTCTTCTCAAATAGTTGATCGTCATTTAGTTAAAGAAGAGCTTGACAACAAACACTTTTGTTCACGAAGGAAAATTAAAATATTTCTGCCACAAATTTTACACTAATATTACTCTGACACGAAGTAGGACGTGGCAGATTCGAAAATACAAATTGCGGTTGCTAAATAATTAAGAAAGTCAATCTTGATTTTTTTTTCCTGTCCAAATTAATGACGTTCTTAATAATAAATAATTGCTTTTGAGATAGAAAAGTATACGCGTATCAAAATCTTAAAAGAATATAGTTTCTTCGTTAGTTTTATTTCCTTGATTTTGAAGAAGCTACAGAAAGCTTGAGTGAAATATGCAATATTTAACTCAAGCTTTGCAATATTTTAAATTTTTAATTCCTTTTCTATAAAAATAATTAAGATAATTACGTTAAAAATGTAAATGTTTTAATTATGTAATTGTAAATAAACAGTGAACAAAATCGTTACGGCCGTAAATATTCGCCTTAGTGTTTAATAATTATGTAAAATATACTACTTATTTCTTGTTAAACATTTACAATGTTAACAGAAAAAAATGAAGCAGCTCGGATTGAAATTTTTTATTTATTTATAAAAACTAAAACAATCTGATCGATATTGGGGCCTATTTAAAAATTAACGAAATTTTGGTATTAATGATATATTTACTTGAATATATTCTTTACTGTTTTATAAGTTTCGAATTAATTTTTAAAAATGTATAAAAGTATTAAGAACGACTTCTGAATCACGATTTTTTAAAGATAAATACTGTATAATAATTATTTTTAATTTTTTATTCATCGATCGATTGGGTTCAATGTCTCCCAAGAGTTTGCCATCCTTGTCCAAAAAATATCTTTTGCAAATTACCCAAACGCCCAACTTGAATATGAAAATTCATGCAAACTATATTATTTATTGGGAACTGTATAAGTTTAAAATAATTCCTACTACAGTACAAAAGTACTGTAGTAGGAATAGAAGTATATAATCATTAAAAAAATTTAATGATTCTACGCGTCAGTGTTACATAGCCGAAAATTGACATGTGCAGTATCACTGAAGACTTTTCTGGTACTCACGGGAGTGTATGCAGATAGATGCAACGGGTATAAGTGTAGAATTCAAACAAATGGGAGATTCTAAAACGGGGTATCAAAACGTCATTATATTTTTATTTTTCAAATTTTAAAATTTGTCGTCTTGAGGACAGATTCTGTAAAAATTTTTGGTTAAAGTTAAAAAATAATAGTATTTTTATCGTATTTGCCTTTTATATTCTTCCCAAAACAAGTGGGAGCCAAAAATAAAATCTCAGACAGTGGCCGTTATCCTATGGGCAAAAAGGGGCAATTGTCTGGAGTCTCCACTAACAGGGAAGCCAAAACCAACCTTTCATAAGAAAATATTTTTCACCAAAAATTTTCCCGAAAAAAAATGAAGGCAACACTGTACATGAGGCCCCTTAATTCAAATTTGCTTTGGCGACCATGAAGCTATGACGTGCCAGTGATCTTGTACAGGGCACGCGAAAAGCTAGTTACGACACTGAGTATATGTACCACGTTTGGAAAACACTGGATTAGGCGATCGAAATAGTCGAAAATCGAATGTCAAAAATAAACACAGATGGAAATTAGGTTAGTTTGTAAATATTTTGAGCTTGATTTAAATTTAAATACGCTAAATAATAGTTATAGAAACTCACCGCTCTTAGAATTTCTTTAATCTGCTCTCTTCTGGCATCGTCTGACCTCGTCGGCAAATATCGTCCTTGAACTACGGTACAGCTAACCGCTACCAAGATGACCACGCACATTACGACCATTTGGGAAGCTAAATATTAACAAGAAAGATCCATGTAAGTTTGTACACAATGATGTAACTGGAAGTAAAAGGCAGAAATATTCGGTTATTATAACATAGATTATATCGACCGATTAACATTATAACTACATTCAAATTATGTAAGGTAATTTATATTAATGTAAGTTAAATAAGAAAGAGACTACTCGAATATGAAGCGCAAGTCTGATAATCTTCCATGGATTGAATTTTTAGTTTTAATAGAAATAAACAGAAAAACAATTGATGTAGATTATCATTAATTTTATTATATTGTGTAGTCTTTGTTATATGTGAAACTACTTGAAATCTATCGTTGGCTATCAGTTTGTTTAAATACGATTTTCTGATTAACTTTTTCGCCAAAAAACTTGAACAAATTGAAAAATTTTCATACTAGAAAAAGCTATGTACAGTACTGTACAGTACAGTAGATGAGTGAAGACAAGTCTAGAAATATGTACGCAAATTTTGTCTGTTTTATACAAGTTCACCTTATACAATGTTTATATTCGTATATCTGTCGTAAGAACAAAACTTGGATATTCTTAAAATAGACAGATGGCACCTGCAAATAATACGCGGGGAGGAACTTGCCGATAATCGTCGCATGAAGAGTGCGTCTGATAATAAATCTGTTGGAAATCGATGACCTAGTTCCATTACCGCAAGGGCGATGAAACGTCAAGAAACAATCTCGACTCGTCGAAGGAAAAGAGAAACGTTTTCCCTCTTTTACGTAGGCCGTCTTCGCCACAGACGCGAATGCAATCCCATGGCATTCGTTGGGCGCCCGATTGTCTGAGTGCAAAAAGCCAAAGACGAATTTCCACGACTTTGATGATTAGTTTAGTTGCTTCCGCGTTATATTTTCGTATTATTTGCCAGCGCCCTTCTTGTCTCCTCTCTTTCTGCCGTTTGTATGCCATTTGGCCTTTCCAAGTGAAATGTCGTCCAGATTCTTCTTGTAATCATTCCTCAGTCGTTCGTCGCCGCGTTTGTAGTTTTTAATAAAATCTATTACTTTTCTGTATATTTAAAAAAATACAAATTATGATTTAAAGAGTATAATAAATTATCTGATTAAAATAATTTATTACATATTCATGATACAGACAATATATTGTCTGTATAATGAATGGGCAACGTACTGTCCGCCATTTTCAACACACTCATATAATAAACGTAACATCTTGAATTTATATTTCGATTTTATTATTAATAAAGTCAGTCACGTGTAAGAATAGATCAAGTACAAATATACGTAGGCCTACAACCTTTTATGGAAACTTTAATTTTTAATGTTTTCATTATATTTCCTTTTAATAATCTTAAAAAGTATCCAATAAATCGTGAGAACTAAAAATACATTGATCCGAAGTATGCCATTTTAATTAGTCTACCATGTCAAAAGATTTGACCCCGATCTGTGTTATAATATAATTTTAATAAATGTAATTTAAGCAGCACTCGAAGTTAATCGTCGCGACAGCTCTTAATTTTACTAGAGCTTAATAAGGAATATTTGTGTGCTTTGTTACTATCGTCTCCGTTAAAATTGGATAAATGGTCAAACAATATTTATAAAATGGAGAATAAATTTTCAAGCCGGCTACTCGGAGAAAAGTTTTTGAAGTAGCTAACATAAATCCTTTTCTTTTTTCTAAAATAAATTCTTCTCCTTTCGGTAAATTTAAACACTTCAGGGAAAAGACTTTAAAAATTCCGCATGCACTTAACGAGATGAATTTTGTTATCCTTTTTCTTTGATTGACGTGGACTCGAAGCCACTACAAAAAATAATCGGATATATTTGTTTCGGGATGTCCACTCACTTTGTTCATTTTACAGTTAAGCAATTTCTAAATATCCTATTTTCTTCCAAAATGTTTATGTACTTGGTCATTTCGACACTCGTAAAATAACTTTACAGTTTATATCGTTTTTTTCCAGTAGATTTAACGCTATGTTGTAGATTTGGAAACTATCAAAGATTTCTGACTTTTCCTCTACGTTATGCATTAATAATCAATAAAATTATCATTTAAAAAAAGATACACTATTTATTAAAGGAAGATTAATATTTCTATTTAATGCAGATTTTAAAATATGTGTGTTTTAAATATTTATTAAACGTTATTCCTTTAATTTTTATCACGATAATAGGATTTATATAAATCACAAGAAATAATCTACAATATATTACTTTAATTATTTATATATCTTTTAATCTACGACCAATATTTCTATAATATATAAAATTTAATAGAATTTTCTATGGGATTCCTAAGGGAGCGAAAAGAGATTACTTATAGATTATAATAAGAACTTAGAAAAATGGAAGCTGACAAGATGACAAACGCCAAGAAATCTATTTGATTCCGTAACTAAATACATTTTGTTTATAATTTCATTGTTCGAGTAGAATATGAGCTAAAAGTGCTATATTTTAAATATTAATCAGTGCATTAATTTCATTAAAAGAAATGCGAAGATATTCATTGATTGTTTAATAACGTTATAGACAAAAATAACGCATTTTTTCTCGTTCTTTTATAATAAATTATACTTTATATGTTTATATAATCGTGAAAAGATTAAACGAATTGAAATCGTTCGTAAAGGAATCATTGGACCAGTTCCATTTAATAAGATTGATGAATTCTATTGTAATTAATAATCGCGCTACACGATTAACGGGATGTTAAACAAGAATATTATTCGATTAATAACTATAATTAGGACGATATTTAAAAATTATATAAATTGAAATCTGAGGAAGTGGACAATATTTCAAAAAATTAGTATTTATGCAGAATTTTTATCTATAAAAAAATACAAGATTTTTCGATAAAGAAACCTGCGATAGATTTTTCAATTAGGAATGTAACCGGAAGTATCGAATCGAGATGCAATTTACTTTAAACAATATAAAATCGGTATTGTTTCTCGCTTTGTTTTGTAGTTAAATAAAACTGAATTGAGAGAAAAGGATTAAATCTTAATGGGAAAGAAACAAATCGAATCAATTTTGTGCTTATCCGTCTTTGTCAGTCGACATTCTCTAACAAATCTTTCTCCGGACATAAAGCATTCTTGATTTTTAGCAGATTATTTTCTCGTTTGACGTCAATGTTAACTAAATATTTACATCTCTTAAAACTACATTAATGTATTCACTTTGGTAAGTAATAAAACTTTTCTTCCAAATAAATAATAATAAGAAGAAGAAATCAAGACTTCGAGATTAATTTTATTTCAATGCGAAATGCAAAATTATGTTTACATTTATTAATATTTAATAGGAAAATTTTGTTTTTTAACCTAAATTTTTATTTTTATCAAATTATATGAATAAACACCTCTTCCTGTGTTTTTTCTTAAATTTTAAATCATTAAACACATTACAAATCCATTAATTGTAACGTTTATTGTTTATTTTTTTCGCTTTTATTTCTTGTTAAACGACATTATTTAAATCATTTAGTTACAGATTGATTTAAATTAAATCTGACTACATTCACTGTTATAAAGACTTTTTTTAAATATAGAGCCCAGTTTATTAACCTGTTTATTAATAGTAATAGTTTATTATAGAGCCCAATACTAATTAATATACAAGTAATAGTCTAATATATATATATGATATGTGTTTGTATAGTTTATACAGGAAGAGAATATGATATAATTCAATCAAACAATTGTCAAAATGATGACATAGTGTAGGGGAATTTTAGGAATGTAAAGAAGCTTTTGAAAACAAAAAACATTTCTTAAATTCTGCGATTTAGTAATAAACTTATTTGTATTAATTATTTTAGTAAATATAGCATTATAAATTCATAAATCGCTAAAGAGGATAACCGTTTCGATTAATAACTTGATCCGTTTAATCGAAAGGATGAACACAATTTCGTAATTGAAGCAGTTCTGTAAGCGATAACTAGTTATAGAATCGAAGCTAAGCGATTAATTTGCAAAAGTTTCGGTTTTATTCCGTGTAAAATTATTCTAATGAAATGCTTCTTCAGAAGCTTCATTACATAATCACTTATTAATTTATACAAGGATAACATATTGTTAGCGACGTTTAATTTGCGAAAATGTTCTATAAGTTGGAATTATGGATTTATTATTAAAAATTATTATATTGTGCCGTGTCTTCTATGATTCTAGTAAATGATTTCAATGGCGTTCAGACAAAACTATTTTTATGAGAGAAGCACATTTTATAAATTAATCTTAATAATTAAAACGTATAAAAACAGTTATTATTTTCGAGTTTTTGATAATATATTTAAACAAATCACCTTATTTATGAAACACGTTACATATAAAGTAAATATATGATAAATATATCCGTCAAAGTATCCTTTAAATACAAAACAAAAGCAGAATGAAGTTCGATAGAAATTAATTTTCGGTGTTAAAGTCCCGATTAACGTTACGCTTCGATATAAACGAATAGAAAATTCTTTTAGAAAATGAGCTTGACCGACGGAAAGTTTTTTAATATCAAAATATTTCGAGGGCGATAAGAAATTTATCTGATTAATCTGCTATCGGAAAGAGAAATCTCCATCGAATAAATTAAACTTTATTGATGAAAACTTCGCGAAGATAAAGACGACATCGTTTCGTTTTAAATACTAAACTTGGCGATTTCGCTGTCTCGCTATCACTTTTTCGTAACTGAAGTGCTTTTAAAACAGTTAAAAAACTAGGTGGATGGAGTTTTGTTACGGGAATTAATCTTCTTTGTCTAAGTCTACAAATGAAAAACCGAATTCACTGGTAATTTCTGGTATTACGAATCTCTTTGCCCTAAATGATGGGAGGATGATGTAGGTGTTCGGGCACCAGAGGATTTAGGTATAAAATTTATGCTAAATTAAAAATAATTCGTCTTAAAAAACAAATCTAAAATTACCTTTTATTTTATTTTACTATTGATTAATTCAATGTCAATCAATTATTTAATTTATTATTAT